ATATTGTAGATTTTGTAAAATATCGCAGCTACACTCGGCTCAAGCTTTTATTCGTTGTAATAATTATCCGCAATATATCTCTTGATAGTTTCGTGACAGATTAAAATTAATAGCTACTAAAAAATTTTAGGGGAGGGGGAATTTTCCTTCCCATGGATCCGCGCCTGGTTTACTGTGTTGCAGATTTCTTGAGTACTGCCTAAGCATAAAATTGCGTTACTTCTCACCTCACCTCCGAAAAAACCCTCCTAAGCAACAGTATGCTTATTTTTGTTAGCCCGGCCCTGCTACAGGCGAATAGGGATTCAACATCTGAAGCTGTCCGCTTTGATTTATTAGACCGTTTCATTTTAAAGGATTTTTACAACCAGAGCCCTCTGTTGGCTGCTCTAACCCGCGACAAGAAAGCCATCGCTGACCGTTAAGTTCGTTCTTCCACCAGCTCTCGGAATGGCAGTCCGGCTTCTAATCATGAGCCCAGCTGGTTCGTCCACACCATCTTGACAAGCTCGCTCTGAAATTACTTTCTAGTAGTCTTGTGAAGAATCTCATCTCTCTTTTGTTTATTGAGATTTTCCTCGAAGCTAATTGCTGCCACACCCTAGGAATGTTTCTCCATTTAACGGGGTTTCCCACGAGAAGGATGAGAGTGGAATTGCGTGTGAGGGGTTGCGAGATTCCTCTTGAAGTCGGTTCCTTGATGCGTATCACACCCTTGAACCCTTTGAAATTACTGTCTGTTATCATTTACTACTTTTATTATTCTTGCTATTTTCTGTAAGTCTCTCGCCTAGCGAGGTGGGTGCTATACATCAACCACCTGAGACCTTTTAAGATCTAAGGTGCCTGTTTCGGTTGCAAAGTCTGGCGGTTCACGGTCCACGTGACGTGAAGCTATATAATCAAAAAATTCATAATGATTGGTGCATTGCTCGAAAGTTCAGACATTTTTGGCCTGAATGTGCGAGTTTTTAAGGCCAATCCTAGCAGACGATGAAGTTAGTTCAGCAAATATCAGTTCGTTTGCAGTGACGACCACAGGAGGAATATTCGTATACAACAGACACCAACCGTCACATGTCGCTCAGCCAAGGCCGGGTACTTATGCTGCTTCTCGGCAACGAAGGCATGGTATAATTTGCCTAATGCATAACCGTCGAATTTGCGAAGATTGTTGAATTGTTTTGCGCGGAAGGTCTCAAAATCTATAAGATCTTAACCTCTTTCGTGTAAGTATAGTCGTCTCATTGAAATGTTGGGATGTGGTACTTGGTAAGAGTGGTCCTCATTTATCGATTAAGCTCCCGCAGTTCTGTTGATGTACAGTGAAAAACACCAAATGCCTATCAGCCAAAGATGTTGCCCTAATATCGAGTTCTTTCCATTTAAAAGTGTTTTACCGATTTTTGCGACTCTTTGCAAGATTTTATTCTGAACATCACGCGTCGTCATTGCTTGACTTGCGTTTAAAAGTTGATGCAGGCCTAAATATTTATTAACATCCTCTTGCCCAAGTTCTTAGATTTCGAGCGCCCTTTCTGCACCAATTTTTCTATTATTATTATTATTATTATTATTATTATTATTATTATATTAATTATTGGAATTATAATTATCATCGCGATTACTAGGTATATTTATTAAAAATAATTTCCTTTTTATTTAAAGTTGTTATACAGAGGTCTGAAATTAAGGTTTATGGCCTTTGACCGTCTATATGGGGTGCCATGCATCACCCGCAGAAACTGCAATTACTTCTCCCGACGTCGATCCATCGCGTACCCTGCGCGGCACCGGGCGCCGAGCGGCATCGGTCCCGGTTGCGCAACAACCAATCGCCTCAAAAGGATATCACGCTCTCCATATATTAAGATTTTACGCAAACGCGCGATGAAATCCATCACGGCGTGAGGCGGGGGCGCTATGTCAGACAGACCGGGCACCGCTGTATTAATACCCACGGGTATCCTGACTCATAAGGCGAAGCGCATGCGGGCGGTGGAGACAGTGTCAGATGCCTCCCTCTGGATGGGCAAAAACGCGTTTTTGGATTCCTAGTTTCAATTGAGACATGTCCAATTTACTAGTTTGAAATTGGCGTCGTTACTAGTTGAAAATGGCGTCGCAGATGCTGTAAACTGTTTTAAGTTATTTTTTATTTGATGTGAATTTCTAAATGCCATGCATAATTCAAATAAATTCTTAGTCTCTGGCACTGGACATGCCAATGAATCGTGGTAGCTGAAAATGTAATACTCCCATTCAAAAATTCCCAACACCCAATGACCTTGCATGTTACCTCCATACGGAGTATGAACTAGTAATATTGCAATTTCAAAATTGTAATCGCCGTAAAAAATACTTGCTGGTATGGATGATACCAACAAAATTTAGTACAGCTAAATTGTGTACGCCTTTTTTGCTAATATGCCCAAAAATGCACATGAAAGATTACCTGCATTCAGCGTTATTCTCTAATTCTAATATAAAAACATTCTCAATTACTACCGAAAATTCTGACACAAAATCTTCTACAATTACATTTAATTTTTCGCCTGTATTGGCACGCCTAAGAACGTAAATGTCCAAAGTCCAATTCGCATGTGCTTCCGTTTACTAACATTACTCACAGTTCTTGTTTTCTCCTTATTCTCTTGGCGTTCTTCAAACTTAACAAGTTCCATGTTAATACTCTACGTAGTTGCTTGCAAATTTATTATTAAAATACAGCAATACGGACGAAACAATTCACTTCTAATGTTCAAAGCAGCGTGACTATTGACATTTCTGCAGCGTGTTTCACATGTTCCAAAACAATCAGTGTTGCCATCCTCATATTAGAGAAGTCAGGCGTCGTGGAGCGAAAGTTGCCTCAGAGTACTGCGATGTAATCAACACCACCTACACAGATCTATTTGGGTGGCTTTGGGTTAATTCTCCGTCTACCCATTAAGATCGCAGCAGTTTTAGGAAATTTCTTAGAATCTTCTGGCGAGATTCGAAAACAAATTACCAGTTCCCCAACACGAGACGGATACGCGTCGAATGGCACCACATATGTCTTCATTTGTGAACGGCAAGTGGTCTAACCCTGACTGATCCGCATACACGGACACCCGCAGTTACTCAAATGCATAGAGGGATTTAGTATTTCTGAAAGAGAAATCTATTTCCGAAAGATAATTTTTTTTACAAATACTTCAAAAAAGAAAGCAAAATGTTTGAAAGTACCACTTTAATGACATACAAGAAAATAAAAAATTACTTTATCAGAAAGAATAACGAAGGCGATGGTTCCTTCTAAACCAGCCTTATTCAACGTAGTGTATTTCTCTGGTGCCCTTCTTATGCGAATTCAATCGATCCAATTTACGAACATGGAAATATTCCGCTGACTTCTCGATATCAGATATTTCCTGTAATTATCTCCAGATCAATATTATCAGGGGTTCCATGAGATATCTTGGCTACTAGAGTTAGCTTTTTTCAGATATTACCTCAAAAACAAATTAATTAAATAATGGATTATAAGTGAAACATCGCCACATTTTAGATACAAATGTAGCAAAAGATCTTCAGAAAAAATCAAAGCTGCTGGTTAAACTAACAAAAAAAACTTTCACATTTTCGAAATGAGAAAACTAAAGGCGACGGATGTTATCTTCCGTCTTTTGCTGAGAATATTAAAACTAGCTACAGAATTTAATAAAGTTATTGAAACTTAAGCCATTGCAAATGTTTATCAGCGCAGCCCATATTTCTAGGAAGTAAAAATGACTAAAACATGCCACATACATGCATAATAAATATTTATAATATTTAATAAATATGAATTATAAACTTTACAATGAATTAATGTTTATTTCTAAAATGTAACGCAAAATTCTTGTAGAAAAATTTGAATTGTGTTATGACGGTATGGACTCTTTAAAGCAAGAAAACATCGGTAAAAAAATATGATTGAAAAATGTATTTTTTTTACTATACAGCGCTGAGACCCCATTTTAATCATTAAATACATTCATGTAATTTTAGAGAAATTTAAATATTGTAAAACGTTAGTTAATTATACTAGTAAAAGCAAATTAATTAGTAAAATGATGTTTTAGTGTTCCACATTTTTGAACTCAAATGGTTTTAATTGACACTACATTGGAGACTCTCTCAGGATTCATAGTGTTGCTATGAACTATATTCATGTTTTGGTTCCGTATATCTTTGTGAAGTAGCATTTTCTTTAAAGTGTTTAATACGAAATAAATACCGCAACTGACTGAAAGACTCGCACCTAATTGATGCATTAAGAGTGGCCTGTCCTAGCTACAAACCAGATTTTCCTCAACTTGCAACGATCACTCATTACATCAGTTAAGACACTTTAGGTGAGACCTCTAATTAATTATGCAAGGCATGCAAGTAAATCTAATTATTTT